GCGGCGGCCGGAGGAAAATGAGGCTGAAGATCGGCTTCATCCTGCGCAGTCTGCTGCTGCTGGGGAGCTTCCTGGGGCTGGTGGTGCTCTGGTCGTCCCTATCCCCGCGGCCGGACGAGCCGAGCCCGCTGAGCAGGATGCGGGTGAGTGACCCGCCCGGCCCTCCCGCTGCGGCTACTAGTCCGCAACTTGTTTTGTACGTGCATGCGCGTGGTGGGAGCCTGGCCAGAGGGATCGCGTCGCCTCAGGTGGCGCGGGTGGGATCTGGGGGGTCGGCCGCGGTGGGGGCGCTCCCCGGTCCCCGCCCCTGGGACTCCCCGTCTTCCTCCCGCTTCCTCCCTGCCGCCGGCGATACCGGCTCAGGAGCGACCGCAGAACCCGGGCCTTGGGGGGGCGGGGGTTTCGCCAGCCGGGAGCCCGACTCTGGTGGAGCGGGGGCCGCCGCGCTCGCGGCCGGGGGACGCGCGGCCGGTCCAGGCTGAGGCCTGCGTGTGCGTGTGCAGGCCTGGAGGAGGCGACATGCGGCCGCCGCGGGCCGGGCCCCAGCGTCGTGCCTTCCCGCCCGCCCGGGGTGTCGGTCGCCTCCCCTTCCACCGCCTCCGGGCGCAGGGAGAGGCTCAGGGAGGCCCCGCGGGACCAGGGAAAAGGGCGTTCGGCCTGAGTAGCCGGGGTTGAGGCCGGGCGGGGTGACGTCCCCGGTCCGATCGCGTCCCCTCCTGCCCGCGTCCCCTCCCAGCGCCCCGGGGATCCCCTCCGGCGCCCAGGCACGACCCAAGGGTCGCAGACTCTGCCAGTTCCCCGCTCCCGAAACTAACTTGTGCCGCCACCCGAGCGCGAGTGGCGGGCAAGCGACGGGGTACGTTGGTTAGCGGCGGCCACCGCGGCGTCACTGACCCAACCCTAACCCCATTCTCCAGCCTGGAAGCCCCCCAACCCCCCACCGCCGGCCGCCCCTGAGGCTGGGGGAGGGGGCATCGCCGTCCGCTGAAAACCCCTTTGCCAGTGTGATCCGCGCTGCCAGTGTCATCTTCATTAACTTAACTCCTGGGAAACTTAGCAAGTAGGGCGGCGAGAAGGCTCGTGGTGGTGATGACTATTACAGGAAAATCCCAGGGGGACTTTATTTGATCAGCGTTTGTTGCCTGGGTCATCAGATGAGATTTCATCTGCCTGTGTTCCTAATTTGGGGTCGTTGCTGCGGTGGTGGTGGGGGTATTTCCCCTTTGTAAAACATCTGTGGTGGTTTCCCACCCAAATCATCCACATTGAGATAATAAAGTCTCCTGTTTTCCTTTACGGGGTGTTCTCTGGACTGTAGAGCAGCGGGGTTCACGCTTTTGATGATTTTTTGCTCTGGAAATGATTTCTTAACAGAATAACAACTCGAGGTTGCAGGTGTCTGAGAGTATTTGTTTGAGGTCATCATAATGCCTTTTTTGCCTAGAGTTAGAAAACGGGAGCCTCCCCCCACCCCCATTTTCTGGCAGAGAAATTCAGGACAAACTGCCCAAACTAGCCCCATTCAGAGAGAGTCCCACAGTTGTATGATAAGGTGAGGCTTTTACAGAGGTGCTGGAGCGTCACCATCACTTGTTATTTTTATTAAGATACAGAGTAAGCTATACAATGCCCATTTAGTAACTATGGTGACAGTACAGAAGGTGGTGATATCTTGATTTTTGGTCCAGTCTACTTGGTAAAGCTTGTCAGTGGAGCCAGTATCATTTCAATCACTTGTCAAAGACAGAAGCTAGATTTTTAAAGATTTACCAACCTACTACACATTACAAAGAATATTTGGGTATCAGAAGAGCAAAGGTCCTTATACTGGCCTCCAAGGCAAACAGTAATCCAAGCAATTTAAGGTCTTGTTTATGAATAATAAGAGTATAAATTCATATTACACTTGGCTTAATAAAAACGAGGCACTAGAAGAACATGTGCTTTAGAGAGGATTCTGACTGTGTGCCCAGATTCTGACTCCTGGGTTTCCACTACCCTGCCTGGTTTTTCTTGTTTATTTGTTTTAATTTTGAGATGCATTTCACTGTGTTGCCCAGGCCACTGTGTTGCCCTGCTACACTGGTGCAGTCATAGATCATTGTCGCCTTGAACTCCTGGGCTGATGGGATCCTCCTTCCTTAGCTTCCTGAGTAGTTGGCTGATTTTCATTTATTTATTTAGAAATCGGATCTTGCTGTGTTGCCTAGCTGGTCAGGCTGGTCTCTGACTCTTGGCTTCAGGTAGTCCTCCTGCTGTTCTTGTACTTGGATTATGATTAGATGCTTCCAGCCATTCACTGTGAGGACCCTGCTTCTCTTTAAAGCTGATGCAAATGTGGGCTTTTCTGGATCTTTCTGAATGGCTTGAGATAGGCAAGAACAACCTAGTTTACTTGCTGCCTCTACTCTAGGAAGCCTGGCTTGTGAGAAACAAGTTTCCTGTCTCCTCTTTGTCTTTGGCCTCTTGCTGTTTCTCTGAGGTCCATGTTGTGAAAAAAATCACTTTATTGTTTTAGTCATATTCTGTTGTGTCATTTTTCTTTTAACTAATTGACTCAAACATTTTGAGTGCTTACTATGTGGATTGTTAAGCAAACACTTTATGCCTGTCACCTCGTGGGTCTTGCAGTCCAGGATGTATGAAGAACACTTCTTCCTTGAGCCTCCACTAATGTGGAAATAAAAATAGTCCTACGTGCTTTCACAGTGGAAAACCATAGGCGGTAAAGGGTCCATTAGAAGCCTTACTTAAAGAAATGCTTTTGAGTTGGAGAGGAGCTGGACCCTGAGAGTAAGAAAAGGAGAATGATGCTCTGAGCCTGGGTATGGGACTTGTAATCTGTGCTAAGGTTTTCCTCCTTTTTTTTTTTGAGATAGAGTCTCACCCTGTCACCCTGGGTAGAGTGCCATGGCATCCTCCTAGCTCACAGCAACCTCAAACTCCTGGGCTCAAGTGATCCTCCTGCCTCAGCCTCCTAATTAGTTGGGACTACATATTCAGGTCACCATACCTAGCTACTTTTTCTATTTGTAGTAGAGACCAGTCTCTATCTCGCTTTTGCTCAAGCTGGTCTCAAACTCCTGGCCTCAAGTGATCCTCCTGCCTCCGCTTCTCACAGTGCTGAATTATAGGCATGAGTCACAGTTAAAGTTTCGGTCTTAAGAGCAGTGGGGAGCCATGGAAGAATTTTATAGGAGGTATGCATGATCAGTTTTGTGTTTTGAAGAGATCAGTCTGGTTGCCTGCAGAAAGGATGCATTTGTCCATAGAGCAAATAGCAGCCCTTTTGGAGGTTACAGTTCAGGTGGGACATGACAGTGCTTGGACTGGCAGGGTGGTGGTAGAAAAGGAGACATCTAAATTGATTTAGGACCTATTAAAGGTGCAAAGGCATCATGATTGGTGACTGGATGTAGTAGTGAAGGTGTCAGGAAGCCCGATAGATGATTGGTTACGTTATGGAAAATTATGGTAACAACTGTACACGTTCCCTCCCTCCCTCCCTTCCTTCCTGCTTGAGACAAGGTCTTGCTTTGTGGCCCACACTGGAGTGCAGTGGTTAAGATTACAGGATACCATAGCCCCAACTTCCAAAGCACAAGCCATCCCTCTGCTTTAGTCTCACCTAGTAGCTGAGACTACAGGCGTGTACCACCATGCCTAATTTTTCTATTTTTGGTAGAGATGGGGTCTTGCTCTTGCTTGGGCTGGTCTTGAACTCCTGAGCTCAAGGGATCCTCCTGCCTCAGCTTCCCAAGTAACTGGGGCTACAAGCACTCACAGCCATGGCTGGCTAATTTTCGTACACATTCTTATATATTATTTTTTGTTGGTGGTGTTGTGGTAGGGTTTTTTAGCCTTCGTCCCCTGGATATTTTAAGGTTAGCATTTATTAAAACCATCTGTTCAGACTTGCAAGTGCAAATGTTCCTTTAATTAAATATATTATAGTATGCTTCAGACACCATTTATCCCAGGATTTAGCCCTGAGTGAGTACTTCAAGTTGAATCATGAGCTTGGAAAATAAAAGTCTATAATGGAATGTGGATAGATATTTGGCCTTGGTGGTTCCATAAAGACGTTCAGTACTGGTGAGAAGCTGTGTGTAAACTGATGACTCTGTAGGTGCAAATGCCATTATACTATTGTCAAACCAGCAATGACACTGAGGTCAGGAACAACAGGTTTTATGTGATAAGCCAACTGGCAGGTTGGAAGGAATGCAGTTTAAACGAGGATTAGTGGCTGGATTGATTCCATGTTCCACTTTACCAATGCCATTTTATCTTGGTAATGATGGCTGCAACCTGGAAAACTCTGCCTTTGACCGTAACATTTTATTTCAAATGGAAGCTCCGTTAATGCGATTTAGGATGGTGCTGTCACTCAGCAGCGAAAGTGTAGCGTGTTAAGTGGCCAGTTCTCAGTTTCCTAGGCTACCTGCCTCAGGACTGGGTTACGTTTTCTTAGCTACTCTCAGTCTCTCATCCTCCCCCATTTTATACAAGTTAAAATAAAACATTTTTAAAAACCCAACATTATCAAGTCTAAGAAATGTGAGGTTTATAGACCTGAAATTTTTTTTTTTTTTGAAATAGGATCTCACTCTTTGCCCTGGGTAGAGTGTCCTGGTGTCATCACAGCTCACAGCAACTCCTGGGCTCAGGTGATCCTCCTGCCTCAGCCTCCTGAGTAGCTGGGACCACAGGTGCCCACCACAACCCCTGGCTGGTTATTCTATTTTTAGGAGAGACGAGGTCCTACTTTTGCTCAGGCTGGTCTGGAACTCCTGAGCTCATGGGATCATCCTGCCTCAGCCTCTCAGAGTACTGGGATTACAGGCAAGAGCCACGGTTCAGCCAAACCTCCTGAAATAAATGCAAACTTTTCTGTGCATTTGCATTTCCTTTTCTCAGTGGAAAAATGAAGCTTTCCTTTTTGCTTTCACTCTCAAAAGTGTCCTGGGTTGGATATTAAAGTAAGTCTACAGTTACCTTCCTTGAACACCTGGTCCTAGATAACCAAAATGACTAAGACCCTTTTCAGCACAGGTCTGTGGGCAGACACACAGGTAAGGAATTGCAGTAGGTCAGACAAGAACTGCCTTGGCTGATTCCACTGTGTCCTGTGGGATCAGAG